TTAACACATACAAAAATATAAAAATAATAGAACACATTTACAGCAGAAATTATAAAATTCATAAGCTCACATCCATCAATGCAAAAATTATTCAAAACCACACAACTTTCAAGGATTAAGACTTACAGCAAGAGTGGCAAGAATGGGACATGTATCAACGTAAATAAAATGCCATACTATGGCAGTCCCTAAGCAAACAACACACTGAATAATTTCCACTAAACAGGAACAATGTAAGACTGCCACTTTCTCTACTCTTTTTTAAAGCAGTACTGGAAATCTTAGCCAAATTCAACAAATTGGACAACAGAATTGAGTTAAATTTCCAGGAATAGGAAAAGAGTAAGGGCAATTATATCTATTTTGGCAGAAAATATGATTCTGTACACAGAAAATCCAAAACAATCTAGACAAAACACTCTTGAAAATGATAAATGAATATAGCAAAGTAGTAGGATAATCAACATGTAAAAAATTATTTTTATACAACAACAAGGAACAAACTGAGGTAGACTTTAAGAAAGAACTCTTATTTACAGTAGTCAAAGAGAGCAAGATATCTGAAAATAAACCTATAAGAGATGTGAAATACCTTGTCATGTAAAAACTAAAAGGGAAAACAAACAAAATCCATTTGAGGATGATAAAGAATAGAAAATGTGATATTTCTGGAATGCAAGTGCTAATATAAACAAAATTTTAGTTCTACCCAGAAGTCTTAGGAAGTTAGTTCTACCCAGGAGACTTAGAAAGTCTAGTGAAATTCCAATCAAATTACCATGGCTATTCTCCAAATAAAATATTAAAATAATCAGAACATGTCTTTGCAATTTCTGAAAGTCCCATAAGTCCAAAGCAATGCTGTACAAAGTGAATAAAGTAACAGGGACCAGGCAGTTAGCGTAATGGCTATGTCACTGGACTCTCACATAGTCAACCGCGGTTCGTGTCCCAGACCCGGTGGCTTAAAACTCAAGCCGGGCACGTGTGCGTGCGTGCCCAAGATCCTGAGAGGAGAATGGAGGAGAAGGGATTGCAGCGTGATCATCCCCCCTGGGGGGTGATTTCTCGCTTTCTGTCTCTATCTATGTCTCTCTCTGTCTGTCTGGCAAGTGCACGTGCCCTACAGTGAAAATCTCTCAAAAAAAAAAAGTGAATAAAGTAACAGTAATCTCACTTTCTGACCTCAGATCATACACAATAAGCAAACAGCATGGTGCTAGCATAGAATCCAGCATGAAGACCAATGGAACAGAATAGACTACCCAGAAATTACTCCTATATACGGAAAACAGATTACCTACTATTTTAATGTACATCCAATGACATTAATCTTTATAGTGTACAACATTGTTTTTAAGGCAAAATTTCCACGTATAGCAGTCAAGAGAAAGACATCACAATGTTATCAGAATATACATTTAAATTTTTGTCAATAAAGGTTTTCTTTTCTTTCCCAGTTTCCCTCCCTCCATTTCTTATCTCCATTTTCCCCCCTCTTCATCTTCTCTAGTATTTACCTTTGCCCGTCCTGTGTTTATACCTTCCAAACGTTCAGTTTCTTTAATGGAGTGCAGACAGGAGTTATATATTGAGTGGGGCCATGCATAGCCTTTCTGTCACAGACTGACTTGCTTTTCTTTGCATTAAGACTTCCATTATTTGTCCACTTGGCAGTCCTCTGGTTTTTAGCACGATTATTCTCTGAGGAAATAAAAATCTCTGCAATGAATTGGTACTGGAAAAACTTCATCTTCACTTGCAGAGAAGTGAAACATGACCTCTCTTCCTTGCTTTTACCTAAACTCAACTCAATGGGAAATCACAGATAAAACAACAAACTACTGGTGAAAATGACCAGGGAGTTAAGATAGTGACTCTTTCACAGCCAACTTGGATTCAAGTCCTGGACTGGGTGGATACAAAGCACAATGATCGTTAAAAACCCAAGAAGAAAATGTAGAACAGATTGTGGTGTGACTATCTCCTTTGATGGAAACCATGTAGCCAACAGAGGCAGAGTCTAAAAGAGCTGTCTCTCATGTTTAATCAAGCCCTGGGTGGGAATAGCTGCAGGCAAGGACCACAGCTGGGAGCTCAGACTTTCAAACTGTGTTTGTTGTATTTCTCTGCCATGGGCTTTACTGTCGTTATAGTACCTCAGTACCCTGTAAGATACCACCACCAGTGTTACTGTAACTTTTACAATAATCCTGAAGGATTGTGGGCTCCTAAAGCAGTGGCCAGTGGGAATAGAGAGTCACCCATCCTGCCTGGAAAATAACAAAAAATGCTGAAGCTCATCTCAGAGCCACATGTACACAATAACCTTTAAGACAGTCATTAAGCTGCTTCCAAGACCACATTCTTTTTCCATGTAGACATTAGACTCACTCTCTTAGCTGTAGATTACCCCAAAGACAATATAGGTGTTCCATTTTAGTATACATTAACCATGTTTTTACTTACCCAAATAAGATTTCTATTTAGCCCTTTGGCCTGAGGCTAAAGTTATCAAGTGAGACTAAAGCTATCAAGCTTGCTGAAAACACCCTCACCCAAAAGACTCTGCCCACTAATCAAGATCTAAGAAGACAAATGGACATTATTGCCCAAAGGAACGTGGCTGTTTATACCTGATCGAACAGAACAGACATCATGTCTTATGATTATATTTTGAATATCCTATTTTTCGCCCTGAGGACTGTAACTGTTTATACCTGATCAAACAGAACAGACATCATTTCTGTTATTGCAATGTTTTGAACACCCTTTTTTTACAGTAAAATCTTTTACTTCCCCCTTCACCCTTCCTACTTCTGTAAACATCCCTTAATAAATATGTATGTTTGATAGCCACTGATGCTGCAGTCTTGAGCTTGCTCTGACCATAGCTGGCTGAGAAAATGCTGAAGGTCATTAAGGTCTCTACCTGAATTCCTGCTCACCTGCGTTGCCTTTCTGTGTACGAGCCTCAAACCACCCTAGCCTGAGCCACCCCAGCCTGAGCAGGTCCTCGGCACTCCTTGAGGTGTGATTTCTCAGTTTCCCACTATCTACCTCTATGCATTTCTCTCCAGGGTGTACATGTGATCTATGCAATAAAATAAACAAATAAGTAAACTTTAACAATAAAGCTAAATAATCAAAGAAAATTAGTGGTGGTTAATAAAAGAAACACATGTGGAAGTCAGAATAGGCAAAGAACTTCTTAAATAACACCACCATTAAACAGACAGTCATACAGTCAAAGGACAAGTGGAACTACATCAGGCTAAGATGAATCTTCACAGCCCAAGAAACAAAAGTTAGAGGCATGTAATTGCCCTCAGGATGGATCAATATATTTATCAAACTAAGGTAGGAAAAATATTGTAAGCCAGAAGAACTAAGAACTTTTTAAGGCAAAAATATATTTTTTAAAAAGTCAAAATAAAGCATATGTGAATGATGTGAAGAGATACCTCTTCAAAGAAGACCTCTGAATTTCCAAAAAGTGTACAAATATATCAGCCTAAACTTCTCTTTACATAAGGGAGAGTCAAATCAAAACCTAAATGAGATTCCACCTATCCACAGACAGGTTGGATAGAAATTAGCAAATGCATAATAAGTATTTCTGGGAAGGTCATGTGAGTACAACCACTGTGACATATAATGTATATGAGCCTCAGGGACCTTTGAATAGTACTACCATATGCTCAATTATACCCTGGGGACCTATCACCTAAATAGAATATACTCAGTTCAAACACCACTTGTACATTCATGTTTATTGCAGCAATTTTTACAAATGCTAAGTAATCATTCCCTATGCCCAAGAGCAGATGAATGGAATGAAAAAAAAATGTGATGCTTATACACCATAGAACATTACTCAGTCATAAAAGTTAAAGAAACCTTGGTATGTGACAGACAGTGGAGAAATATAAAAATGTAGTTATAGTTTAAACAAACTATACCCAGCATATAACCCTTAACTAACATGAAAATCTGCATTTTAAAGCAGAAAACGAAAGATTGGAATGTATAAAAATTCTGGAGAACAACTGTGGATATTATGCACAGTGCAGGAGGAGAGAGGGCGATAGTCTTTTAGATGGAGAACGTCAGGAGATAGGAAGCATAGCATTTAATAGAAACCCAAAAAGGAAATGTTGGGTTTAAGATTACATGTGTAGTTATATTTTTTATGTGACTAATATACAATGGAGTCATACTGGCAACATTAACTTCATAGGCTGTAATCATGTTAAGTTTTTAAATACAAGAATATTAAAGAAGCCTCTAGTGTACAAAATAATAATTTAATGTTTGATGTATTACAATGGACACTTTGACATATGATATATGAACCTTGGTATTACCAGATGGTGTGGAAGTTGCTTCACTAGATTTTTTTGTGTTTGACCATGGTTCAAGTCAAAGACCTTACAGCACAATACTCACACTGGGTCTGTGAGCGTGTGTTCTGCAAAACCATGGAGGACAATGGCAGAGAAAGATTTGTGGCTTGGCCATGTACCAGGTGATTTTGCACATTCTGTCTCTCTGATTAGCCCATGCACCATAGAACACAATTATCTTAAAAAAAAATAAAAGATATGGAACTCAAGTAATTATGTGACACAACTTTTGCAATTAGTTTGTAGGGAGAATAAAATTAAAGATAAGAATAAAAGAGCAATTCATGCCCTTGAAGTGGATGAAATAAAAATGGCTAGGTTGTAATATGCAACTTTTGGCAATTGGAATACAGTAAATAAAATGTGTTTTTAATGGAAAAGGTACAGAGGACACAGACTTTGTAAAATAACTTGGCAATTTCTGACAAGGTTATATTTCTACATACCATATAATACAATTGTGAAAGTGGTGGGTATTTAATCCATTGAAGTAAACATTTGTATATACAAAACTCACACATAACATGTCAGAACATCATGTGGAATAATGGAAAATGATATGGAAAGCAAATGTACACCAATGGATCGATTTGTTACATCAATGATAAAATAGTTATACAACAGAAAGTGACTTTGGGACATGAAAAATAGAAGTACTTTTGGGATTCATAAAATGGGGTATGTATGTTAAGAGAGAAAAATCCTGCTAAAGGGAAGCACAAATTATATCAGTCTAGAAATGTGAGTTTTGTGTTGTGTCAGAGAAGTTTTTGATGTTTGGGGACAGAGAAAGAAATGCATATTCTCATTTACTTTGGTTAATAATTGATGGTCTGAGGCATATTTTGCAAACATCTTCACTTATCACACAGAAGCTGTCTTCATTGTCATTTTTATTTCCTTTGCTGTATAGAAGCTTTTGAGCTAGATGCATTCTCACTTGACTATTTTAGGAATCATTGGCTGTGCTGCTGGGGCCTTATTGGAGAAATATTTCTCCATCCCTATGTCTGCACAGGATTCCCCTAAGTTTTCTACCAGTAGTACAACAGTAGGAAGCTTTACATTTACATCTCTGATCCATTTTAAGTTGAATTTTGTCTTTAATGAGCCTTAGGAGTCTCATGCCCTTTTCCATAGTTTGATGTCCAGTTCTTCCCACACCATTTCCTGAAGAGACTTCCTTTTCTGCACTACATTCTCTTGTACCCTTTGTGAAAAATCAATTGCATCTGTAATGTAGACTTTATTTCTAAGTTTCCTGTTTAGTTCTATTGATCAGAGAATGTATTTCTTTGGCAGTACTATGCTGTTCTGATTCTCACTACTCTGTAATATATTTAAGGTCAGAAGTGAGAGGACTCCAACACTGTTTTTTTAATTTATTTATTTTTTTAATCCTGCTTGACATTAATAGAAGACATAGGGTCTTCTATAACTCCAAACACATTTTGTGATTTCTGGAAATCTTTGTGAAAAATATCACTGACAGTGTGATCAGAAAGGAATTGGAAATGTAGCTTAATTTGATGAGAATTCTTTAGATTATTTTTCTAATTCAAGAATATGAGGTGTCTTTCCAGTTTTAATCTCCTACTCATTTTATTTTTCCTGTTTTCTATAGTTTTCCTTCTACAGATCTTTCATGACTTTGATTGGGTTTATTTCTGCATTATTTACATGGATATTGCATTGTGAATGAGATTGCTTTCTTCAATTCTGTCTCAATCTGATCATTTTTAGTGTACAAAAAAGCCATTTATTTTTCTAATTGATTTTGTATTCAGCTAACTTAGCAGATCAATTTTTTTACATCTATTTTTTTCAGCGTGGATTCCTATAAGTCTTGTATGAATGTAATCACATCTGCAAAAAGTGAGTTTGTGTTGTTGTTGTTGTTGTTTTCTCCCCTATAGAAATAACTTCTTTGTCCACATTCTTGTCATATATGACTTTGTGTGTAGTAATGTCCTTCCTATACATATTTTGCTGAGATTCTTGAACATGCAGGAATGTTGTATTTTATCATATGCTTTATTTGTGCATCTATTGACTGCTCATATGATTTTTATCCATCTCTGTTCACATGATGTCTTACATTTATTGTTTTGCTTTTGTTGTGCTGTTCTTGCAGCCTATGGATAAATTTTACATGATCATTATGTATAATGTTTATGTGATTCTGGATTGGGGTCAGTAGGTATGTTACAACACACTTTTCCATCCATATTCATCGCGGAAATTTGTCAAATTTTATTTTTTTCTTTGTCTGTTATGTTGATTTCTGCTTTAGGAGGAAAGGCAATAGAGATTTCATAGATCCTTCCTCTTGGATCTTTAAAACTCA